CGGTGGGACCCGCGTTCCGCGACCCTCTGCCCCGAGCCCCCCCGCGTCCCCAGCGGCCCGGGTGGGACACCCGCCCATTGCCCCCTCCGCCGCGAACGCTTGATTATCTTGCACAGGGCGTCTAGAGGTCCGACCAGTTTATTCCGCGTCGCACCGCACCCCCACCCCCGCGTCTCGTTTACCCCTCCCTGGCGTTCCCCAGCAGCCCAATGGAACCTCCGCCCAATGCCCCCCTCCGCCCCGACCATTGCATTCCGCGTCGCACCGCGCGCCCTCTCCTCCCCGCCCCCCTGCCCCTTCCCAGCGTTCTCCAACGGCCCAGTGAAACCTTCGCCCAGTGCCCCTCCGCCCCGTCAATTTTACTCCGCGTCGCCCCTCGCCCCCCCTCACCGCCTCCCTCCTGCCCCTCCCCAGCGTCCTCCAGCGGCCACTTGGAACTTCCGCCCAGCGCCCCCTCCGCTCCGACAGTTTATTCCCCACATCCTAAGTGAGGTTCTTGTTTTCTCTGCACACCCTCCGCGCAGGATCTCTCCTCCTCCTCCCTCTCCTATGATCCTCTTTGCTTCCTCCTCCGCATCATCACCACCATCACCATCACTCCCCACTCATCATCATTGTCATCATCATCATCATCATCATCTTCATCATCAGCATCATCACCATCAGCACCACCATCGCACGATCACTCACCATCATCGGCATCGAACGATCATCATCATCATCACCATCATCATCATCATCAGCATCATCATCACTACTCGCTGACTTGAAGCCTGAATATGGAGGAGGTATCAAGCGGGAGCCTCGTCTGTGAGTGCATTGTGAGGAAGTCTCAGGCGGGAACCCCCTCCCTATGGGGCCCGCATTTCATGTTCGAATCCGAGCAGGTCATCCGCAACGTGCAACTGTCGTCACTTTGGGGCTCTTGAGGCCTGAATATGGAGGAAGTATCAGGCGGGAGCCTCGTCTGTTAGTGAATTGCGAAGAAGTCTCAGGCGGGAACCCCCTCCCTATGGGGCCCGCGCTTCATGTTCGAATCCGAGCGGCTCATCCGCAACGTGTAACTGTCGTCACTTTTGGGCTCTTGAGGCCTGAATATGGAGGAAGTATCAGGCGGGAGCCTCGTCTGTGAGTGAAATGTGAGGAAGTCTCAGGCGGGAGCCCCCTCCCTATGGGGCCCGCACTTCATGTTCGAATCCGAGCGGGTCATCCGCAACGTGCAACTGTCGTCACTTTTCCGCTCTTGAGACCTGAATATGGAGGAAGTCTCGAGCGGGAACCTCGTCTGTGAGTGAATTGTAAGGAAATCTCAGGCGGGAGCCCCCTCCCTATGGGGCGCGCACTTCATGTCCGAATCCGAGCGGGTCATCCGCAACGTGCAACTGTCGTCACTTTTGGGTTCTTGAGGCCTGAATATGGAGGAAGTCTCGAGCGGGAGCCTCGTCTGTGAGTGAATTGTGAGGAAGTCTCAGGCGGGAGCCCCCTCCCTATGGGGCCAGCACTTCATGTTCGAATCCGAGCGGGTCATCCGCAACATGCAACCGTCGTCACTTTTGGACTCTTGAGGCCTGAAAATAAAGGACGTATCAGGCGGAAGCCTCGTCTGTGAGTGAAGTGTGAGGAAGTCTCAGGCGGGAGCCCCCCCGCCCCCCCCCCCCACTATGGGGCCCGCACTTCATGTTCGAATCCGAGCGGGTCATCCGCAACGTGCAACTGTCGTCACTTTTGGGCTCTTGAGACCTGAATATGGAGGAAGGAAGTATCAGGCGGGAGCCTCGTCTGTGAGTGAATTGTGAGGAAGCCTCAGGCGGGAGCCCCCTCCCTATGGGGCGCGCACTTCATGTCCGAATCCGAGCGGGTCATCCGCAACGTGCAACTGTCGTCACTTCTGGGTTCTTGAGACCTGAATCTGGAGAAAGTTTCGAGCGGGAGCCTCGTCTGTTAGTGAATTGTGAGGAAGTCTCAAGCGGGAGCCCCCTTCCCTATGGGGCCCGCACTTCATGTTCGAATCCGAGCGGGTCATCCGCAACGTGCAACTGTCGTCACTTTTGGGCTCTTGAGACTGAATATGGAGGAAGTCTCGAGCGGGAGCCTACGGCCCAGCCCGAAGGTTTGTCCCGACGGCTTCGCGATCTAGCCGTCGGCAGACGCGCGCGCGCTGGCCGAGGCGGCGACGGCGCTGAGGAAAATGGATTTGCTTGTCCCGACGAGGGGGAAGGGGAGGTGCACATGGAGAAAAGGCAGGGGGATGAGGAGGGAAGGGGCATGGAGGAGGCCGACGACGAGGAGGAGGTGGCGCGAGAGGAGGAGGAGGAGGAGGAGGAGGAGAAAGAGGAGGAGGAAGAGAAATAGAAGGGGGAAGAGAGGGCAGTGCAGGGGGCGAGAGGAGAGGGTGTCCGCCAGGCGGAGGAGGAAAGGGCAAAAGGTAAGTTCAACAGATTCTCATGTGGGGTCCTACCGTCGGAGTAATTCCGCGTCGCACCGCGCCCCCCCCCGCCCCCGCCCCCCTCCTACCCCTCCCCAGCGTTCCCCAGCGGCCCAATGGAACCTCTGTCCAGTGCCCGTTCCGCCTCGACCACTTTATTCCGCGTCGCATCGCGCCCTCCCCCTTCCCGCCGCCCCCCCCCCGCTGTCCCACCCCTTCTCAGCGTTCTGCCGCACCTTTCCCCTCATTCCCTGCCCTTTCCTGTCCACGCCCCCCACCCCAGCGTTCAGCGGCCCAGTGGAACCTCCGCCCAATGATGCCCCCACTCCTCCACCCAGACCGTGTTATTCCACGTCACTTCACGCCCCGCCCCGCCGCACCCCCGCCTTCCCCCGCCACCCTCCTCCCCGCCCCAGCGTTCCCCAGCGGCCCAGTGGAACCACCGCCCAATGCCTCCTCCGCACCGATAATTGTATTCCGCGTCGCACCGCGCCCCTCCTCCCCCCCCATCCCTTCTCTCTTCAGCGTTCCCCAGCGGCCCAGTGGAACTTCCGCCCAATGCTCTCCTCCGCCCCGACCATTTTATTTCGCGTCGCACGGCGTGCCCCGGCCCCGCCCCCCATCCCCCCATTCCCCAGCGTTCCCCAGCGGCCCAGTGGAACCCCCGCCCGCCGCGTGCCCCCTCCGCCTCCGTTTCGGGCTCCTGGGGAGTTCTCCGGATCCTCTGCAGACTTTTTGGGTGTTGGTTGGAGGCCTCCTGGGAGCATGTTGAAAGTCGTGGAGGCCATCTCGCGGGGGGGGGGCCGTGGAGCCCTCTCGAGCTCGCCTGTCAAGCCCATCTTGCGGCCCTCGTTGGGCTCTCCTTTTTCCGATTTCTCGCACTCCTTCGTCCTCCTCCTTCACCTCCTCCTCCTTCCCCCTCCCTTCTGTGCAAGTGCCACGGCACGCCGCGTGCCACTTCTTTATTTATGTATGTATAGTTCACTGCTCGGCCTGAATACATAACACGATGCTCCGTAATCAAATGATTACGGGCTGTGGGAATCACTCAACGACTGAGTCACCCATCAAATGAAAAAATCATTGGATCATGTGCATGTCGCGTGCTTTATTTTTGACAGAGCACACATAATGCTACTCATGGGAGGCGAGTTCAAACATCAAAGGCGTGATGGCATGACTGCGCAGGAATTCATAGCAATGGTTGCCGAGGTAACTGCCCACGCGAACGCCACCCGTCGCCGCGGCCGCTGCCGCCGATGTTGGCCCGCGGCGGGGGAAGCCCCCCCCCCCCCCTACCCTGGGAAGCACCAACGTCCTGAACAGGGCCGATGAACCACCCAAGGGACGAAACATCCGCTGTCGCGGAAGATGCGGGCAATATTAATATCCCGATCCACTGCGTCTTAGACTTTCTGAGAAGGGGCACCAAAAGGCCAAGGCGCAGTGGACAAGGATAACAGTCTACCTCTAGTTTCTGGGTGATGGGACCCGCAACTCCAAAACCTAGTATGTATAAAAATACGGAAACAAATCTTGCCCACAGAGGATGCGCGGTGCCGTGAAAAGGTCACGACGGTGAGGGCTCGACCTCCTCGTCCTCCTCCTCCTCCTCCTCCTCGTACTCGTCCTCATCTGATCCTCCTTCTCCTCCTCTTCCTCCTTCGCCTCTTCACCCTCCCTCCTCCTCTTCCACCTCCTCCTCCCCCTTTTCCCACTCGCGCGGGGTTTCTCTCGTGCTGGGTGTCGGTCAGAAGGGGCCCTATTAGGCCCGAAGAGGGGACACGACGCCCGCCGTCTCCAGATGTGAGGGGGTCTTGCTGGGGGCGGGCTGGCGAGCCCGGACCTTGTAGAATGTCAATCGCACCGACGACCCTTGCAAACACATGTGCCAGAGCTCAGCTGGACGACAGCGACGGCACGCGCGTGGAACTGGATTCCTGCACTTACTGGATTCCGAGTCCTAGTGGGGCGATCATGTCTGGTTTCCAGGTGGAGCATCGAATCTCGAGCCGCACACATGTCTTTGAACGTTTTCGGCTGCGTCAGGGTCGCAAAGGATTCCTCATCGGCCATCACTGGAAGTGAATATGACTTCTTCGACAATGTGGGTGCGGAAGGCTCGGCAAAGGAACCAGATGTGTGGCATCTTCCTCCTTGTTTCCCTTGCAGGCATTGCCACCATCCGTCGTCAAGGTCTCCTTCACAGTCCTTCCTTCCTCGATGTTCTCCACATGTTCCTCCTGCCCATCCTGCTTAGCTACTCCTCATAATCCTGTTCATCCTCCTTCTCGTCCTTTCCCTCATGCGCCTCCTCCCCCCCCTCCTCCTCCTCCTCCTCCTCCTCCTCCTCCTCCTCCTCCTCCTCCTCCTCTTCCTTTTCCTCCTCCTCCTCCTCGTCGCCCTCCTTCTCATTCTCCACAACCTTCTACCACAACTGCCGCTAACTCCCATTGGTATCACCCTTCTCCTCACGGGTGCCCTATGTCCTTTTCCTCCTCCCCCTCCTCCTCTTCCTCCTCCTCGTCCCTCCTGCTGCGCCCCTCCCTGCCTTCCACCGCAGAAAAAAAAAAGCCTGCAATAGCATCCTCTCCGCGTACGCGGCCGACGTGCCCGCCTGTGCCCCTAGCAGCACGTGCGGCACCTGGAGGGAGGAGCGACAGCATCGTGTGCCAGAGAAGGCCAATGCTGTTTGCTGCCGCCCGCTGGCACGAACCACCTGTCTCTGCCACCGGAGACGGCGTCGGCTACTGACGGTTGCCGAACGAAGCGCCCTCCCCGGATGACGACGACAACGATAAGGGGGAGAAGACTAATCAGCTTCGTTCGCCCTCGTTCGCCCAAGGAGGGGCGGCAGCTCGCTGACAGGGCGCAGCGAATATCGATGCAATGGCGGGCTCCTGCCACTCCGGGGCCGGGAGAAGGAAGCACACGATAAAGAGGGGGAGCGGAAGGATGAAATCAATGAGGAGGAGGACGACAGCAATGAGGAGGAGGAGGAAGAAAACAAGGAGGAGGAGGAGGAAGAAAACAGGGAGGAAGAAAACAATGAGTAGAAGGAGGAACACAACAACGAGGAGGAAGAAGAAAACAAGGAGGAGAAAAAACACAGTGAGGAGGGGGAAAGGAAGTATGCAGGGGAGCGTGCGCCGGGCGATGCTCGGGCAGACCAGACGGGGAGGGGTAGGAGGAGGCACCACCCCTCGACGCGTCCAGGTCCACGCTGCTCCAATTCGCACTTGGGGACCCCACCCCCGGAGGTGATCTCGAGCACCCGGAAGGGTGTCGAGAGAGTGCCGAAGCAGTGCCGAAACGGTGTCCAACGAGCGTTTCCCAGGGCACGACACGTGAAAACCCGCGGGTTTCGGCAGGTGTTCTTGTGCTCGAGATTCATTCTGGTAGCGAGCATCATAAATGCAGGTAGCGAATGCCCCAATGACTCTTCATGCTGGGAGATGGACGGCGCACAGAAAGCGCACCACTGACAACGAATCTCTGCTTGACGCCCAACCTGTAACACGCACGTGCGCACAGCAGAAAATATGGATCCCCAACAGATTTCGGAATGACCGATGTCTTGGCGCACGCTGTTGCGTCTGAGCGTGCCCTGGTGCGAGACACGCGTTTCGATTACCAACGCCGCGAGATAAGCGGATGAGCATTCACCCATTCGCCGCAACCGCGCCACCTTTCCTCCCGCGGGTGGATACGAAACGAGATCGGAGGTGGGGGGGTGAGATCGCAGTGTAACGGAGCCCCCCCACCGGGAAATCGAGTTTCGAGTTCGTGCTAGTGCCGTGCGTGCGGGCGAGGCGAAGCTGCGTGGGCCAGCGAGAGGACTTCACTCTAGGTCCGCCAACACAAATGTTTCCCCCCCCGGCCTTGTCAAGCGGTAACCCACGTTGGCCCCTCGGTTGCCCGTCGGTTGCCCGCCGGTAGCCCACGTTGTCCCGTCGGTTGCCCGTCGGTGCACCCAACGTCGACTGGGACGTCGTGGGCTGAGTGCCGCGTCGCGCAGCGGCAAACCGAACGACACAAGTCGCCCAAGCGAAGGAACAAAAAAAAAATCCGCCACGTCATCCACACCATCATCGTCCATCAGCACCACGTTCATCACAGTTGTCGTCATGAGCCACCCCCCTCCCCCCACCCCCCCACAACCTCCTTATCACCCGCAGGGTGGTCGTATCGGTAAATATACGGAAACTATGGAAACACCATGCATTCGCCACCCGGCCACGAATCGCCCACGCATCTGCAGCCGTCGGCACACGGCTCAACGCCACAGGGCGATGTCGGCTGCTCTGAAGCTCACCGCGCGCTCCTAAAAAGCCCGCCGCCGAGGGACAAGCATGGGAGCCGCCCACTGGTCGTGGACGCACGCCGCCGCATACGTGGCGACGTGCTCCAAAGCGCGATGGGTGTCGACGGCACGCCGCCCATATGATGCCAGAGCAACCGTGACAACGTCGCTGTCGTACTGCGCGCGCTGGATCTCATCGCCACGTGAGAAAGGGGTGAGGGGGAGAACAGAGGGGAGAGAGGAGCGGGGGGACGGGTTAGGAGGAAATGGGCGTGGGGAGGAGGTGAATCAGGGACGGGACGGGAGGAGCGAGGAGTGCGGAGCGACGATGGAAGGGGCAAGTGAATGGAGGAAGGAGGGCGGGGAGGAGGTGAGCGGGTAGTGTGACGAGGGATAGGAAGAGGAGTAGCGACAACTGATGCCGGGGGAGGGACCCCCACCCCCAGTCCCCGCAACGCCCCCGAAGGAGCGCCACAAGCGCACCTAAATGCGTTATTTCGGCGACCCAAAACGATCGGGGGCATCTTGGGGGGAGGCCCGCCTCGCTCGAGACATCCCCCCAAAACGCTCGGATGTCTTATTCCCCACCCGGGTCCCGGCAACACCCTCCAGGGCCTCCGAAAGAGCTCCCGTGGGAAGTCCCGACGAGCGCCGCGGGGAGGGGCGCCGCGCGCGAGACTTCCCCCCAAACCCTGGAAGCCTCCTGGAAGCCCCTGGAAGCCTCTGGAAGCCTTGGGAACCTCGGAAGGCCTCGGAAGCCCTCCGAAGCCCCGGCAGGCCCTGGGAGGCCCTCGGAACCCCAGGACCCTGGACCTCGCAAGGACACCCAAGGCGTTCCGGGGAAACGACTAACGAGTGACCAGCACTTCCCCACCGTCAACATCCGAACCCCGGATCCCTCCATGTACCTCACCTCCTTATCCCAACATCGGATCACTCTACTGACCTCACCCTCCTCGAAATTTCCATATCCCCTACCAGGATGAGATGAAAGAGTGAGGAGGGGAAGGATGATGCGGAGAAAGAGACATGAGATCATGGATCATGGATCAAGCTCGTGGAGTTCCGATCACCACCGCCGCCAAACGGGACGCCTGCTGCCGATCACTCACGAACTGTATTAGACCATATTCACTGTAACAAGCCAGCGCTCTCGGCTCGGGGCCACACAGCCCTCATCAAGGGCACGCTAGGGGAACATCAGGGGCCCTCCGAGGGACCAGGGCCACGGGCTCTTCCCCGACCCCGAACTCTCCCACTTCTCTGCAAGATGACGGTGGGCGCCTCTCACCCCCGCCCGTCGCCACCCCCGTCAGAGCACTGAAATCTTAACAACAGTTCGCAGGTAGACGCCCCGAATCCACTAACTCCTAAAGTCTAGAGCTCGACGCCCACAACGGGGGAGGTCCCCCTACCCCGTCCGTTCGACGCCGACGCACGCTTCACACTTCCTCTCCCCCCCGCAGCGGCAGCAGCAGCAGCAGCCCTCCCCCCCACGCCTCCATCTCCTACAACAACTCGCCTCTGAGGTGTCCTGCTCCTCCTCGCGACATTGCGGCAAGGGGGCGAGCGGCATCCCGCTCGAGCGGGCCCCTCGGGGCGGATCCTGCCTTCCCCGCCGCCTTCGTCCTCTGCCTGAGGATCTGGACGCGCAGCCTCTCGAAGGTGCACATCTCGGTCGCCGCGCGGTCGAAGCAGGCCACGAGGCGGCCCTTGCCCGCGGGGCCCGCGGGGCCCTTGTTCCTGTTCCATTTGAAATACGGGATCAACTCGGCCAACTTCCGGCGGTTCGAAGGCTGGGTTTGTGGTAGAACTCTGCGACCGCTCGCTTCCCCCCCCCCCACTCCTGGCCCGCGACCCACATCGCGAACGCCGCGAAGATGTGTGCATGTGGGGGCCCTCGACTTTCGTAGTCTGGAGTTTCTCCGCCGTCTTTCTGCTTGCTGAGGTCCCTGGACTCATCGTTGCATGCTTCACCTGCGTCCTCCAGCGCTTTGTGGAGTCCGTCTTCTCCCCCTGGTACGTCTATGTCGTGTGTCATGAACGCTGTGCTGGTGAGTTGTGCGAGCTCTCTCGAGCTCGTCAATGCAAGGCGTGTGAGGATCATCAGCAACTCCCTGAGGGCGGCGTCTCCTCCCTCCTTCGCGTCTGCTGCGACCTCGGACTTGAGCTTCCGTGACTTGTTCTCTCCGTCGCCCGACGCGGGCGCTCTCTTCAGCCAGGCCGGCGCCTCGAGGGACATCGCGAGATCGAACGCCAGAAGGAGGCTGGACAGGACGTGGCACATGCCGGAGCAAATGGACACGGAAGGCCTCAGGATTCTCGGCCGTCGTCCTGCGCAGCGCGCGCTCCAAGGAAACGGGCTGCGCGACCTCCCGAAACGCAATGCTCCCGTTCGCCGGGCGCGCCCCGAATATCATGCCAGACGCAAGGCGCCGGGCAGCCGTGATCTTGCTCTGGAACCTCCTTCGACACACAAGGCATTGCTTCGTGCGCGTCAGGACGCGCGCCCGCGAGCGAACATGGCGGCACGCGCGACGGCGGTGCAACAGCTGCGCCCTCGTCTTAAAGCGCGCGCTACACACCTCCCTGGCCCCCTCCCCCCAGTTGCGCACCCATGCATCAACCCCCTCCTCTCCTTCGAGCCACGCGCGGTCATCGCTCTCAACATGCAACGGGGGCTGCCAACCAGGTGGGGGGGATGCGCTCTCTCATCGGCCGCCAAGGGATCTCCGCGAAGTCGAATCGGAGGATCTCCCGGGCAATGTCTGACTCCACAATGCGAGACGGGTCCACGGACAGCAGGGGCAAGACAGACGGCTCATCCACCGGCGCGCTGGCTCTCTGGACATCCTCAGCCATCTTGCGAGCCCACGGGGAAGCCGCAGGTGAGAGCCCCGAAGTTGTCCGCGGGGTAAAACTTATTGTCGGACACGCGAAATGCTCAAAGAGAGCCCCAAGTTCTCCACTCTGATGGTCAGGTTGTGTTTCCCGTCCCTGGCGCCGCCGAAACCTGCGCACGAGCGCCCCGATATCGGGCGACGCGAGCTTCCAGTGGTCTAGCTCCTCTGCCCCCCAGCTACTGATATCGTCGCCCCCCCTGGCGCGCGCCGTTGCCTTCAGAGCCGCCCTGCAGGAATATCACAGTTTATTATCGAGCTGTTTGTACTGCGATTTCGTCATCAGCATGGGCCCCAGTCCGCTAGGTAAGGCATTTTGTGGTAGACTAATGAGCGGACATCTTTTGAATTTCCAGGGGGGATAGTTGCCCTATGCCTCCAAGGCTCCAGGAAGCACTCGAAGCTGAGTTAAGGCGACATTGAAGCTCAACCCCCGTTCTCCCGCCCAGACTCACCCTGGGGCCCAGGTACCGCGTTTCTCGTTTAACACTGCCTCCCAAGACTCCAGGAATTCGTGCTTTAACCACCTCCTACACCGAGCAGCATCTGCACCTTCGATCCTGGCCAGGAACTCCTGTCTTGAAAAAGTTCTGGGCATGTCAAATCTTCTGCAGCTCCAAATTCAGCATGGAATCTGCAACGGCTAGCTGCTAAACAAAATCCTTCCACTGGCACCCTGGCGGGCCCACGTCGAACTTCCACAAATCATCTGCAAAGTTCCGCAACTTGAGGTCAAAGACGGTATTCTTCAAACTCTACTCGAGAGAGTTCATGAGTACCGGTTTGATCTGACTGAGCCAAGCATGGATGGGGCGCCGAAGCGCACCTTGGAACAATGGAACAATCAAAAAGTCGCCCATCAATCCTCCCTCTCCCGTCTTAATCAGCAAGTCCCGGTCGGCACTCGGGAGGCTGATAGTTGCCTCTCGTAATCTCTGGATACCTAATCTACGAGTTTCCGCTCTCGACTGATGCTGCGCCGTGGGCTCCAGCTCCTCCCAGCCCCCGCAAGCAACTGCATGTGATTTACCTGTCGAGCTCGCAGTGTAAGGGCATCCGCTTGGCGGCGACCGCCACGCCACCGCCTGCGCCCCCCAGATCGCACCCTCCAGTCTCCTTGCCCCAGCGAAGCCGCGGTCGAACGGGTCGGGAGGCACCTGCAGAATATCGCGGAAAAAACATCTTTCCAAGAGAAGGCAATATGTGCACCACTCTCTTCCCTGCTGGTCCAGGTCTATTTGGCTTCCCCAGCGCGCAACCCGAACTCCTCCGCCAATATGCGGGCACCCGTTCATTGCGTCGGATGTTCCTGAACCCAGCCACCAGAAAACCACGGAAAATACTGACAAATCAGGTGGTTCAGACTGAAATCCAAGACCACGTCTATTGCGATTGGAAATCTGTCGCAGGGGATGCAGACATAGCTGCCAGAGCTCCGCAGGCGTCGTTCCTTCTGGTAATGCTCGTCGCCATGGTGCCCGTCGGGAACGAAATTCAATCCTTTCCGTAGTCACCTCCGCCGCGCACGCGTTGGCTTCTGTCAAAGGCGACCTCGAGGTGTTGAATTGCTGCTGCTGCCGCACATTCCAATCAATCTCCGCGGCGCTCATTCCTCCGTCACGTCCTGTCTTTCCCAGCGCTCTAGCCATTCTGGTGCGGTAGGAGACGGTCCTCTAGATAATATCGAAGCTCTTTTCTTCGGTCCGAAGCGGCATTTGGCAGCAACGCGACTCAACCTCATCGCAGCCGCCACTGTCTCTGCTCCCATGCTTCGTATATATCCTGTCTCAATCCTTCTCGACGCCTCAGAAAATGGTTCTGTCGTATCTTCTGCATCTGCTGACCCAGCTGCTTGAACCCTGTTTCCACCTGGTCCAATTCAACACCAGCGGCTATCAATTCTTTGAATCTGCACGGTTCAGAAAGGAGCTGTCTGCGTCGAAATGTATCCACTTGCTATTGCTTCGACATCGGGAATCTCTGGAACAGCTCTTTTCCACAACTAACCCTCATTTCTTCTAGCAATTGAAAAAATATCTGGGTTTGGAAGCATCGTCAAAGAAATCCACTCCTAGAACGTCGCCGTCAACTTCTCGACTGCTGCTGGTAGGGCAGTATGCTCTTCTGTCGCCGTACTTCAACGCGTCCATGAGTTCGTCCCGATCCCATCTCGTCACCTGGGCGGATTCCCTGGTATGCCCATCTTTTCCCCTTCTAATCGACATGAAAATTGGGAGGTGGTCGCGAGGTCCTTTTTTCCGGTATTGCTTGCAACTGCATACCTAGCTTATGAAGTGGATGACACCTCTCAATACAATCCTGTACCCCACGAGCGACCAGGCAGAAATCAATGAGACTGCGCGTGGTTGGCCCGAAGTGCGTGAACTCCCGCTGCCCAAGACTATTTGCAACAACCAGCTGATACATGTCCGCCAGGAACCGTAATTGTTTTCCCGCTGCGTGTCTCCTCGCCTCTCGGGTCGCCGTGGGGCCGATCGAATCACTCCGCGCTCGCTGTCAGCTTCCCCCCTCCCTTGTTTCTCCAATACCGCCTTTGGCGTCGACAGATATCATCGGCTGGCATCCCTGGGGTATCTCGTTCAGCACAGCCTTCGTTCAATCTCTCAAAAACTCGAACAGTCTGCATATACAGTGCGATGTCTCCCTGCTTCCTGGGCTGGGGGGAGGTACAAAGCCATCACCAGCAAATCGATCGTCCCTCTTTTGATACGTATCGCCATAGATATCCCCCCCGCAGATGGTGGGCTTGGCAACGCACTGATCACGTCATGTTCTCGGTACCTCTCCAAGCGCGATCATGACTACACAACTTCTGTTCGTATATCTCCCACGAACAACTGCACACTCGTATATCCTCCTCCTCTGGATGCACGATCCTAGTACATTTCCAGCCTCTCTTCTGATAGACGTCGTGCAGATCAGCGCGACCACGTCCAGGAAGGAGGTCTGCATCAGGATCTTCTCGACGCGGCTCCCCGAAGCCCACATCGAATTCCACCCAATCGCTCGCAACATTATCAGCAGTCCGAACGCACGTAACATCGCCTGGCCGCCAGCTCGATTTGGGCGCGAGATCAACCATCGAGTGAAAGGTGGGGCATGGCGCGGCCGCTCGGCCAAACACTCCGACCCAGATGGCGGCTAGGAGAGATGAGAGGGAAGGGCGAGGAAGAGGAAGAGGGGAGAAGAACTGAAAGGATGAGTGCGTAGCTGGGCAACGCGCGCGCAAGCCAATGCAATGCAACGTAACGCCATGCAATACAACCCAATGCAATGAACGCAATGCGCACACATACTTTTGTTTGCCCTGGGGAATTGTTTGGAACCCAGTGCCGTTCCCGGGGAGTGGAGTATGCTATCCTGTAGTGAATCCAAAACTCTTCTGCCCCCCCATCCCTACGGCGCCATTTGAAGCAACGCTGGGCCAGAAAAGGCGTGCACGCGAGTCCCGACTGGCGCCGAGGTCCAGCCTTCCGAGCCTCGCCGCGCGCCCCCCCCTCCATGCAAGCAAAATTGCCTCCTTCTGGAACATGTGTGTGTTTCCGGAGGCCGGGGGCCACCGCGTCCAAACACGCGTCACGAGACATCACAACTCGGCCCCCGATCCTTCTCGGCAGCCCAGGCGGCCTCGGACGCGCAGGGGACGTGCGCAGGAAGCTGGATGACAGCGCAGGCGGCGAGCTCGTCGATCACGATCTGGGACATCAAGACCTGCAGTTCGTCGTTCTCCTCCTCCGCCTTTTCTTCCACCTCCGCCTCCTCCCTCTCCTCCTCCTCCACCTCGCCCTCGTCCTCGTCCTCGTCCTCGTCCTCTTCCTCGTCCTCATCCTCCTCCTCCTCCTCCTCCTCCTCCCCCTCCTCCTCCTCCTCCTCCTCCTCCTCCTCCTGCTCCTCCTCCTCCTCTTCATGCTCCTCACCACGTAAAGGAATCGAGCCCCTGCTGGGCGTGGGCCAAAATTCAGACCTCGTGGGACTTCCGCGCCACATGGCACCGCCTCGCCTTGACCGCCACAAGAGACCGCCGCCTTCCATTCCCGCATGGTCTTTGGTGGTCATGCGGGAATTGAAAGGCGGGGACCTCTGTTGGCAGTCCAGGCGAGGCGGTGCCATGTGGCGCGGAAGTTCCACGGGGTCTGAGCTTTGGTCCACGCCTGGCAGGGTTTCGACTCCCCAGTCTGCTTGCAGCGCATTCTGCAACTTGGTCCACTACACTGGCGTCATCTGCGCCTTGATCGTGCATTTCCGTGGAGTGGTGGTGCCATGTGTCACGGAAGTCCCGTGGGGCCTCGGGCCTACTCCCGGGCGGGAATCCTCGGGTTAGAGCACGCGCAGGATACGCCCAACCGCTGCCAGCGCGGACCCCGTTCACACGTGCCCGTCGGCTGTTTCCCAAGGCTGGTTCTGCTGTTCATTGGCCATGCGGCTAAAAACCGTTACCAAGTGCACCATGCCAGCGCAGACCCCGCATGGTCGGGCGAACCATGGCTGCAGGGGACTGTCGGCGGGGCAGCGAGTCACTTGGCGACTAGCCCCCTTTGTACCTGATGTGACACCTCAACAGAGCATTATGACGCATGCAGTCCTGGTGAAAGATCGGTCCCAAGATCGGTCCTCCTCCTCCTCCTCCTCCCTCTCCTCCTCCCTCTCCTCCTCCTCCTCCTCCTTCCTCCTCCTCCTCCTCCTCCTCCTCCTCCTCCTCCTCCTCCTCCTCCTCCCTCTCCTCCTCCTCCTCCTCCTCCTCCTCCTCCTCCTCCTCCTCCTCTCTCCTCCCTCCTCCTCCTCCTCCTCCTCCTCCTCCTCCTCCTCCTCCTCCTCCTCCTCCTCCCTCTCCTCCTCCTCCTCCTCCTCCTCCTCCTCCTCCTCCTCCTCCTCCTCCTCCTCCTCCTCTCCTCCTCCTCCTCCTCCTCCTCCTCCTCCTCCTCCTCCTCCTCATCCTCCTCCTCTTCCTCCTCCTCCTCCTCCTCCAAGTCTTTTTCCTCCCTCGCACTTCCTCACCATACGAACTCCACTCGCGGACATTTCGTAGCCAGGATCCTCCTCCACGAGGCCACAGGGGCAGCCGAGAATGGGCAGGAGGACGGGCACAAGGACGAATGCGCGATAGAGGAGGAGGACATCGGATAACCACACTCAACTTTACAAGCTCCAGCCCGTCAGCGCGGAATCTCACGGCACTCCTCGCCATCGCTCGGACATCCACTCCGTGTGCATGTTTCGACCCCGTGCGTGTTCTTTTGTTCGGTGATCCAAGATGCTCCTCGATGGTCCTCGCTCCTCGCCGAGAAAAAATCCACATGCCCATGCGATGCCAAGATTCCGGTCTGGCAGGCTGAGCTGGTGCCCAGCATCCGCGCTCCGGCGCGCGCGGGGGGCATGCGTGCGGGGCGGAAAGTGGGAAAGGGGCACTGGGAGGAGGCAGGAACATGAGTGCGGACACGTGTGTTATGAAGATAATCCTGGAGGCCTCGCGCGTCAACTTGAGACCCAATGTACGTCGGATCCACGTCGGATTTACATGGGGCTCACGTTGAAATGGCGTTATGTTCATGTCAGATTACGTTGGATTTACGTCGGAGCATCGCTGCGCACACGTCGACCCATATCTTAGCCCAGCCGTGTGGACTAGACGATAGGACTGATGCGCGCCGCGCGAGGCCACGAAAAATGTTCAAAGACCATGTGGGCACGAGACGGACCTCTGACTCGATGCGGGCACGGCTGCGCGCGCACTGCTACGGGCCCCCTCAGGGCGGAACGCGGGGGCTGAGCGTAAGAGTGCAGGAAGCAGCCAAGGCCACCCTCCTGCGAAACCGCAGCAGAAGCGGGAGGGGCGCAGCCAATCGCAGCAACGCACTGGCCCGATCGCTCAAACCCAAGATGCCCCAGATGACAGGGGAGGATGAGAAAGACGGCATCCCGATGAGGACGACAGGCCACTTGACCACGCTAAAAAAGGAAAGCGCAGTCACGGTGCCTGCTGGGAAGCGCAGGAGGTCGCCTTGGCCTTGAGGACGAATGCCGATCGGACGATCGGCATTCGCTTCTGCTGTATTCTGCTGATCGGACGCACACGATGCCCCATGGAATCGCGCCGCGGGTCATCCTGGCCGCATCGGGCCGTCCCCGAGCCGAGCCAGAATGCCGTGCTCTCTGAGGGCTAGCCTCAAACGGGCTTTCCAGTGGTGGGATGTGTACCCTGCCAGAGTCTCTTTAACCTACCCCCGATCCCCCGATCACCCTTTTGGGCCCCAGGGTAACATGGGGAAAATAGGCCCGACCATATGAAGACAGAGGCACGGAGGGGGAAGTCGGAGGCCACGGGGTGGTGGGAGAGGCACAAACGGGGAGGCGAGGGGGGGGAGGTGAAGGGGGATATAAAATGTAGCCGGCGGACGAGGGGGGGTAAGGTTGGCAGGGGCGGGCCTGATGCCTTCCGAAAAACAGTTTCTAAGACTTCCCCGAACAGACAGGAAGTCTGCTTCTGAAAAAACTTCGCCGCCCTCTGACGAGGCCTTCTCCTCCTCACTTCCTCCGCAGGCTCGCCGCCGGAAAAAAACGGGAAAAGGGTGCCAGACTTAGGTCGGCCATGTCCCCCTGCAGGCAGATATTGCACGAAAAATCAAACTATCCAAACATAGTCAAAAAAATGTCACACAAACGTCCCAAGACTAGTTTCTAGTATTTCTAAATATTCCTCCTGTACAGGAAAAGGCCCGACTCAGTGCTAGCCAAGGTGTGTCGCGGCCTTGAGGAAGACGACTGGTCACGTGGCCACACGAAAAAGGGAAAAGACAACGCTTCTTGGTGCCTGCTGGGAGGCCCGGAAAGGTCGTGCCAAAAGGGAGGAGGAACGGGAGACAAGGGAAGAGGAGGAGGAGGAAGAGGAGGAAGAGGAGGAGGAGGACTCGAGGACTCGAGAACTAAGGGCAACGCGGTCGACTCAGCCGCCGCGCCCCCCCCTCCCGCGCACGCTGCGCAGGCTCACGAGGTCGCGCCTCCACCTCCCTGCCGCTACCAGGGCAGAATACATTTGCGGGGCCGAAGCCCCGAGCCGCGAACTCAATCACATGCAACTTGTTGAGCCCCCACAGCACCTGGACGTAGAAGACATGGAGGCAGTGGCTCTGGGAGGTTGCCCAACCGTGCCGCCCACGACAACATATAGGAGAGGACTATGGATGCGCCCGCAGTTAACATTCAATGTGATGTTCACCCTGTTGGCGCCCGTGCGTCCATTCTCCCGCACAGCTAACAACCGCAGAACGAAGCTTCCAATCCACAAACGGCACTCTCCCATCACAGGGTTGCTGAAGCCCACCAAGCCACGTACTCTTGACGCGTGAATTGTAGCGCCCTGCGCAAAACACCGCAACGTAGGACGACGACGCAATGCAACGAGCCCTCCGACACGGAGAAAAGCGCCCCGCAGCAGCGTACCCCATCTCCTTCCTCAAGAAGACCGCCACTGCAGGAAAAACAAGCCGTATGTGGGGCATGACTGGCCAAAAAGGCTCTCTCTTCCCACAAAGCTGCAACCACCACGTGCTTGACATACTCTGATCGCTCAACATCGGCTCGAAGGTCGGCAGCGTGTTTTCCGGAGCAATCTTCGAAACAAAATGCCGAACGTCGTGCAAAACAACGCACTGTATGATAGCGGTTGCAACAGCACAAATAATAAGATACCAAAAGCTGATATTGTGGGGCATGCCTGGCCAAAAAGGTTCTCTCTTCCCACTTTGCCGCTGCACGCCCACGATGATGCTCACCTGCTCCTGGGACCTGCAATCGATTTTGGTGACGTGGTGGTCAACCTCCTAGCCGTAGCCTGGAGGTAGAAGAAACCGTACAACTTTCAGCGGCGCGACGCCTGGCGCTCCCCCTCAAGTCCGAGGATGGGTCAAAGATACTGCCCGCGTATCTTACCCCACCCGGTGCGGATTGCACGGCCACCTGGTTCGAGCCAGCTCTGGTGAGCCAAACTGGTCCGAGCCAAATGTTACTTGAGAGAGGAGGAGGAGGAAGAGGAAAGGGAAGACGAGGAGGAGAAGGAGGAGGAGGAGGACGAGGAGGAGGAAGAGAAGAAGGAGGAGGTGGAGGAAGAGGAGGAGAAGAGGAGAGGGAAGAGAAGGACAAGGAGGACGAGGAGGAGGAGGAGGAAGAGGAATAGGGAGGACCGGGAGACAGGGGAAGAGGAGGAAAGACGACAGAGAGCGGCATCCCGTGGGGACCAGGTCAGTCCCTCCACTGGACACCCAGAGGCCCAGAGGCGGTCCTCGAGAGGAGGATCCAGAACGCCTGGGGGCGCTGTCCCCAGAGCTACACCAGAGGAGGGTGGAGGCAGCGGGGAGGCGGGCGGAGTGGGCACAGGGGCACGAAGGGGGGGGGGGGAGGACACCCGGGGAGACTGCAGCAGGAGCTCGCCGACAGGAAACCTTCCACAAGAAGCCCCACCCTGAGAGAGCCCAGGGCGTCCATCGACTTTCGGCGCGAGAGCGCCACGCTCTCCATCGCAAGACCCTCGAGGCCCAGGAAGCCCAGGGCACCCTGGAGGCAAGCAGGGCCGCTGCTTGGCACGGGCTTCCACTGTGTAAAGGGGGAGGGGGGCGGCCGAGGTGTCGCAGCCTCCACCTCCTGGCCCTCGAGGCCGCGCAGGGCCTCCTCCATCTCCTCGGGCGGGCGGCACGAGGGACGTAGGGGGGTTGCGGTGGGGGGGAGGGGGGGCGGCCCGGTGCAGGGGGCAGGGAGCCTCGGGGCGGACTCTGGCGCGGAGCGGCTGGGCACTCTCGGCCACGCTGCTGGTTTCGGGTGGCTCCTCCTCCCGCCTCCTCCTTCCTCCTTCCTCCTTCCTCCTCTGAATCCCTCCTCCTCCTCCTCCTCCTCCTCTTCTCCTCGAGCACGTCGTGAGCCATCATGCTCCGTAGACGTTGTTTGGCTCCAGCCGTTCGTGGATGCGGCGATGCGCCTTGGCCGAATTGGCACGCCCTGGCACGAGAGCAGCGGCAACCACCCCCGCCCCAGATGATGCTCATTACATGTTGCTAACCTGTACTCGCCCGTTGCAATCGTAGCCTGTTCTGCGTGGGACATCACTCCGCTGGACCCCCAAAAGGATACCTGGAAGTGGAGTCCTTTTCAAATGTGGCTCTCGCTATAGCGCCGCGCGCGTTCTGTGTAAGAATCAACAACAGTTTTGTAAAATGAAAGCGACTCGTTTCCAACATGCGGCTCTCTTCTGCGCGCCGCCCACATTCGCCTTAACAGTTTGCAGCAGACTCGCCTTTCCAAAATGACGCTCTCGCCTCAGCGCCGCGGGCATTCGTTTCAAACATTTGCAAACTACTCCCAAGGATTCGCACGCTTGAAGTCCCAGGACCGCTGTTCTGGCACGTTCCAGAGGTGCCATCACACAACAATCAGGTTGATTCGCGTCGTTGGAGTCTGCGGAGTTGCGATCGCGTCCAGGCGCGATCAAAAAGCGTCAGGACGCAGCAGTCACGTTGATTCGCAAGAGATGAATTCACAAGACCCGTGTTTCTCCACACTTCTGGATTCTCACACGGTGGTCTTCAAATGATCACTTCGCACGGACACATAATCACTTGCAGGGGCCTGAGAGAAAGGAACTTGCAGGGAGGCTGTACTGCAACATCGGTAAGCTGTCTTGCGTTGATAATGATCAGTTTCCTCCTCCTCCCCCTCCCATTCACATCCTCCTCCTCCTCCTCCTCCTCCTCCTCCTCCTCCTCCCCCTCCTCCTCCTCCTCCCCCTCCTCCTCCTCCTCCTCCTCCTCATCCTCCTCATCCTCGTCCCACTCCACATTTCCTCCTTTGCGCCCCCTTTCCCTTTTGCCCTATCCTCCCACACACTTCCCCGAACTTTCCTCATCCTGCCCGTCCCCGTCGCCCTCCTCCCTCTCCTCTTTCTTCTCCTCCTCCCGTTTACCCGTCCTCCTCCTACACCCCCTCCTCATCCTTCTGCGCCCGCTCCTCATCCTTTCTCCCTCTGGTACTCTTCCTTCTCCTGCGCCGCCTTCCAGTACATTGCTCAACATCATGAATACTGCTCGCTCCCCTCCGTATCTCACAATGGCGCTGCCGCTACATCGGCAACCTCATTTCAGGATCGGCACGTCGCTCCCATCATTCAGAATGGCGCTCTCGTCGCAACGCGGGCCACTTATCATTCTGGCCAAAAACCTTTTCTCATCTTGTCGCCCACTTGTTTCCCCTCTTCCATATTCCAACCTTCCGGTTCCTCCCGCTCCTTCCACTCCAACTCCTGCTGCTTCAGTTCGCCATCGCCATCCTTTGTCGTCCTCTTCTTCTCCTTCTTCGCATTTCCCTTCTTCTTCTTCTTCATGTTTTAGACCTCCTCATCCGCCACCTCCACCTCCCTCTCCTCCTCCTCCTCCTCCTCCTCCTCCTCCTCCTCCTCTCGCGCGGCTCCCCTTGTCAGTTTGCAACGAGACGGGGTCCTTTATTTCCAAGCCCGCCACGACACGCGTCCGCGGACAGAGAAGACATCGGCGCAGTGGGAAGGGATGGGTGGGAAGGGTAGGATGCCAGATATGGCGCGAGCCCACCTGCGGTCGGGAACGTTTGCTTAGCGTGTCGCCGCGGCGGCCCCGGCAGCACGCTATGTCATGCAAGCGAGTAGCATGTCGCTCCGCTCCGCAGGGCAGGGAAATAGAGAAGGCTCGGGAGGTTGGCGCTTGGGGATCGGGAAGTGAGCGGCGCATCGCGCCGAAGCGTGGTGGGCCAGAAATGGAATTATCCCAGTGCGACCCTGCCTAGGAGTTGGAGCCCCTAGGACAGCAGCATTAGTAGTAACAGTCAAGCTAAGCTCAAGCTAGGCTCAAGCTAAGCTGAAGCTAAGCTACAGCTAAGCTAAAGCTAAGCTAAATCTAAACTAAAGCTAAGCTAAACCTAAGCTAAAGCTAAGCCAACACTAAGTTAAAGCTAAGCTAACGCGGGCTAAACCTAAGTTAAACTAAGCTATAGCTAAGCTAAAGCTAAGCTCAAGCTAAGCTCAAGCTAAGCTAAAGCTAAGCTAAAGCTAAAGCTCCCTGGGGACTGGGGGAACCGCTCCCAGGGGACTGGGGGAACCGCCCGGGGCGGGTTGCACTGCCCGGCCCCTTTAAGCTACAGAGTAAGAACCCTTCTAGGCAGAGCCTATGTAGGGAAATAGAAACAGAAGTTCCGGACCGTAGCTCGGTAAGGCCCCCCGCAGGAAGTCCGCGCTGGCCTCAACAGGCCCCCCAAGCAGCCCCAGGTGGCCTGAACAGGCCCCCCGAAATTGCAGGGGCGGCCGCAACACCCCAGCCCTCGGGCGCCGAGCGTGTGAGGGGTGCCGCAAGTGGCGACGCGAGGGTCTTGAGACCGCCCCGAACTCTTTTTGAACACAACAAGATGACAATGTTACGGACAGCGAGCCAGCTTCCTTAAAAGGCGTGTGCTTGAGGTGCTCCAACTGCGCTGGGGACAGCACTGAACGGACTCTTATTCTTCTTCTTCTTCTTCCTGTGGAGACCGCCCTGAACTACGGGCCTGCATAGGCTAGCTGGGACTACCCAGGGGGGCTGTTGTGGCCAGCCGAGACTACCTGGGGGACCTATCTGTGCGCAGCCCGAAGCGACCCCGGCGCTGGCTTCTGACACCCAGGGGATCGTTCAATCTTGAACGATCGGCCTTTTCTGAAACGTCAGATCCTTCAACATCGACCGACTCTGAGTCGCTGACGGCGTTCAACGTCGCCTGCGGCGGGGTCGCCGCTGGTCGACACGACGGGAACCAACCGTACCAATTTCTTGGGGTCTGTTTTGGGGCCCCTCGAGGCGTCTTGGGAGCCTCTTGGAGGTCTCTCGGGGGCCTCGTGGGGCCTCTCTGGGGCTTCTTAGGGGGGCATCTTGGGGCGGAAGGCTCGATTTTTGTTCCGCGCGGGTTCCCTCCCCCTCTTGGGCCCCTCTGGGGGCCATCCTGGGGTGTCATTGGGGGCCTATTGGGCTGTCTCCCCCCGAGGAGGCGGAGGAGGAGGAGGACGAGGAGGAGGACGAGGAAGAGGAGGAGGAGGAGGAGGAGGAAAAGGAGGAAACGGAGGGGGAGCAGGAAGAGGAGGAGGAGGAGGAGCAGGAGCAGGAGGTCCCCCCCCTCGGAGCCCGTCCTCGCAGCGCCGACCCCCGTCGCGCTCCGGCCGCAGCAACACGGCGCACGGGCGGCACGTGGGCGCGAGGCTCGTGGGCAGGACGCCCTGCCCGCGGGGACTCCTCCCTGCCTCCCTCCCTGGGTCTCCTCCCCCCCCTGCCTCCGCCTCCCCCCTGCCTCCTCCTCCTCCTCCTCCTCCTCCTCTTCCTCCTCCTCCTCCTCCTCCTCCTCCTCCTCCGCCTTCTCCTCCTCCTCCACCTCCTCATCCCTCCTCTTCCTCTTCCTCCTCCTCCCTCCTCTTCCCCCCTCCTCTCCTCCTCCTCCTCCTCCTCTCCTCCTCCTCCTCCTCCTCCTCCTCTCCTCCTCCTCCTCCTCCTCCTCCCTCCTCCCTCCTCCTCCTTCCTCCTCCTGATCCTCTCCCTCCCCCTCCGCCTCCTCCTCCTCCTCCTCTTCCTCCTTTTCCATCCCTGTTCCGTCTCTAAACAACTCCTCCCTGTCGCACTCCCCCACCGTGTCGGTGAGGCGTTCGCCGGCTGTCTTGCTTGAGATCTTGCGTTGTGCTACAGTCAACCCGTACCATAAGGATTGCGAAGCTTGTCGAGCGGGGTGCGACCAGCGAAAGCTGCCAAGGGTGGGCCGAAAGGGAAGGATGCATGGCTACCCTTGGGAGGGTTGCTCATCTTTACTATGCGGGCCGATTGTACAAACAGCTTCACGGATGAAGGGCGGGTCGTGGTCAAAACGTGGTTCTCCCTTTAGCGTCGCGCACGTTCGTCCTCAAAGCTCGCAGCAGTTTCGCACATGAAAGGCGGTTGGTGCAACAAATGTTGCTCTCGCCTTGGCGCCGCATGCATCCGCCTTCAAAAATGCAACGGCTTCGCGGATGGAGGGCGGCTCGTTTTCGAAACGTGGCTCTCGCCATTGCGCCGCGCACATTGGTCTTCAAAGCCTGCAGCAGTTTCAAGTTTTTGTATGGTCGAATGCTTAGCAGGACGCAGCAATCACACAGATTCGCGGTGAAGTCCTGGGAGCAAGAATCTGACACGATTTAATGTTGTTTTGGATGTGCACTTGTCCTCCCCCATCTCCTCCCTACACGTTAGACAATATGAATACTACTCTCCTCTCTCCCCTGAGGACGTCGGGGAAATGTTCGGCCCCCCATCCACGTACTGGTATGTTACATACATGATTATCGGGAGTTGGGTTTTCCAGTGTGCTGTTGTATTCAAAGTGCTGTTCTTGCTGAGGCGTTGGCTTCATGTTCGGGCTACCGCTCGTTCCGAATCGTGCTCTCGCTCAAGCGTTGGCCCCACGTTCCCGCTTCCGCTCGTTCCGAATCGTGCTTCCGCTGCAGCGTTGGCGTCATTATTTCCAGCGCCAAGTCACGGCATAGTTATTGATCCTTCCAACTAGGCTTCAAAACCAAGAAAATGCCCCGATAACATATTCGACGTCGATTCGTTGATTCTTGGGATCGCAGAAGCCCCACCCCACTTTAGGGCGTCGCCACGCCATGCCATGTCCATCTACGCGTCCTCCGAATCGTGCTCCCGCTGAAACACTGGCCTCATTTCCGCGCTTCCGCTCGTTCCGAATCGTGCTCCTGCTGCAGCGCTGGCGTCATCAGTTGCTGCGCCATGCCATTGCGTGGTTTTCGGTCCTTCCAAATCGGCCCCCCGAAACAACCATCGGAATTTATTCCACAGTCGGTGTCGATTCGTTGATTTTGCAGGCAGCAAAAGCCCCCCCACCCGACTAAGGGGCGTCGCCACGTTGAGTTTCAACACCATGCTATGCCATGTAATGCCACGCCCTGCTTCGACATCCGACTGTGCGACTAGAGAAGAGATTTACGCCATGGTAAGGGATGGGAGGGGGGACCGGACGTCAGACACGAGCTTGTTCATCGCCCCTTCCCCCCTCCTCCCTCCCTGCCGCCCTCCCTCTTTGTCAACCTCCTTCACCTCTTCTTCCCCCTCCTCCCCAAACTTCTCCTCCGCCTCCTCCTCCTCCTTCTTCTCCTCCCTCTTCCCTCCTCCCTCCTCTCTCTTCATCCTCCTCCCTCCTCCTCCTCCTCCTCCTCCTCCTCCTCCCTCCTCCTCCTCCTCCTCCTCCTCCTCCTCCTCCTCCTCCTCCTCCTCCTCGAGCGCACCAAAGAGGTCCCGACCCAGGCGCCTAGCCTGCAGCAGGTCGTCGGACCTGATGCCGAACACACCTGGCAATGGCCGCCGCCACCTGTTGGGGCGGTGGGCCCTGTACCCGGCGCACTTCATTGTGAGGGACCTGCGCGCAGGTCACCCTGAAAAAAGCCCCCCTCGAAGGGGCACGAAGGCCGAGACGAGCAATCGGGCAGTCAGGGATGGGGAGACGAGTGGCGGCAGCAAGATGGGCGCATAAATGGAGGCAGGACCACACATGCTCGAAAGAGTGCTGTGCATTACAACCGTGAGGGCAAATCTGAATTTCTTGAAAGTTCGAGGACGCGATCCACCCCCAACATACGCACGAATTACCGCATTCCGCCAGGAGGGAGGAAGAGGAAGGAGAGTGGAACGGACTTCTGCCCACGGAATCTGGGCAATAAATGGCTGGTGCAATGGGGGCCACTTTCTGAGGCGACGAAGAAAGAAAGCTTGGGCATCGTCACGGAAGAGGTGTTCATGAATATGATGAGAGAAGTGTCGTTGGGGATGATGGACTTCAACATGCAAGTGTGGATTCTCGCGCTGATGACGTTGAAGGCGAAGAAAAGCTGAGCGACAGGGTCGCCGGATTTCTTTAACTCCTTGAAACTGCTGCGCAGCAGCCGCCAGCGCACTCGGAATCGCAGGCGACTGCCAGAAGGGAGGCCAGCACTGATGCCGCCAGACTCCATCAGGCCATCTCCGACCACGAATGATCATGGCAATCGGGAAGTTCTCCTCAGCACTTGAGATCAGCATCTGATTCATTTCACTCCAAGAAGTGAAGGTAAATAAAGCAGCACGCATGATTTGAGCTAGGTTAGTCGCCAAAATACTTCGGACCATGGGACCACCCCACTTAGCCAAGTTAGGCCAACCCTGAGCGTCGAGACGAAAACAAGGACGGGCGAAAAACACTAGCTAGCACGGCGTGTTCCTTCTTTCGGTGCCGGGGCAACAGCAGCTGGAACTGGCCAACATACGAGAGCACCGTCACCGCGCGCCTCGCGCACGGGTGCGCGGCGAGCTGGGTCGGAGCGCCTTCGTCCGCAATCATCTGAGCTCGCTTCACATACTTCGCGAAGGGCCCCAGCCAGGAGGCCAAAGGGGTCACACTCGGGCCTAACCAGAGGCCAAGGTACAACGCACGAGAGACCACGTCGAAGTTTTTCCACTCAGGAACGGTGTGCGCGAGCATCATACGATAGCGAGCGGCGATCATCTCGTTAAACTCTGCCGCCAGCGGCACAAGCTTGCACTTCGCGGTCTTCAGCGCCAGATGCGCGAGGGTCTGCGCAGCCCCGAAAATCTCGCGCAGGATCCCGGTATCCCGTAACCGAAATAAGATTGCACCTATATCATCAGCGCAAGCTCGTACAAGGCCTAGATTCGGGGTTTCCAATTTCTGCCGAAACATTTTCAGGAAAGGGTCGGCCCCGAGGGCAAACAGAGTCCCGCTCGCGGGACACCCCTGGATAATGCCGCTGGTAATGCAAGAGAGGACCATTCTTCACCGCCTATCAGGCCAAGACAGATGACGCAGGTGCGAAGATTCTCCAGAAGGGTGAGGAGAGGGGGGGGGGGGAGGGAGATGCGACGGAGGACGGCGAAGATCCATTGCTGGGAAATCGAAGGGACCGCTTGACCGAAGTCGAAGCAAAGGAGAGAGGGGAGCAGAGAGGGGGGGTCTCCAGACATACTGGCATGACGAGCGACAGCGTCAAGCTCAATTATATTATCGCCAAAAGTTCCGACGGGGGACGAAGCCCCGCTGGGCGCTGCCAAGACCCGAGGGGAGAGCAGCAGTCAACGGGCGGACCGAAATCGCCGCGATGATTTTGTTGTCACAATTCTTAAGACCCAGGGGTCTAGTCTCCGCGGGCCGCCTCGTCTCAGGGAAATCACCAGGAGGGTCGGCCCCCTTGGGAATGAAACCCCCCCGTGACAAATTGAACCCAAAGGTGAGAGACTGCCCCGCGTGGAGCCATCTCATCGAGCTGAAAAGCACTTCATCTCCAAGAGGGGTGTTCTTCCAAGCGCAATAAGGAAGACGGTCGGGCCCAGGGGCGCTTTCACTTTGGCGGCCCAGGAGTTTCCGAAGCTGGGAAAACGTGGGAGGGGGGATATCTTGACAGTTGAGGTCAGGAGGGAATCTGCCCAGGAATTGTTCTGCCGCCTCATGGAGGTACTCCTTAGCTTCGAACACTGGCGCCCAGTGCTGCGAGAGCGATCGCATGATCGCAGCGGGAGATTGCTCGACCGCGCCAGAGTCTAATCTCACGCCGGCCAAAATCACGCGCCGATCGAACGGCGACCAGAGACGGGCGAGCCGCGCAGCACGGCGAGCACGGCCCACCACACGCGCGACCGCAGACGGGTCGCGGAGCCGCTGAGCACTAGCCTGCAGGGAGCGTTGGGTCGACTCGGCGAGGGGGTAATGGAGCGAGTTGGAGAGGGTCGCGAAGGCCTGAGGGTTAGAGAAGGAGACAAGATGGGTGTCGTAGTTGAGGTTCAAGTGCTCCCTGCAGAGTTCGTGCGAGCGGAAAAGCCTGCACGCCAGCGACCAATCCTGCCTGAACACCGCTCTCGCCATGCTCCTGGCCATAAGATACCTAGCAGTGTGGGTCTGAGGTCGTGTGGGGATAATCAAATCCCGAGCGCACCGACTCGCTTCTAACATGAGGATTTTAAAAACATCGCGGGCCATCGGCGGCGAGGGCTCATCCAGGGGGCCAGCCGCAAGCGCCTTCTTCAGAAAGCTCCGAAACTCGCGAGACTCAAAGACGGCCCTCGGAATCGGACGCTCGGCCACAGGAGCGGGGGGGCGCACGCAAATACATATTTCCACAGGGGCGTGGTCCGACAGCCCCTGGGCATCCAAAACTTCGGGGCGCTCCCTCGCGGCACCGCCAGAGGCGAATTGCGAGAGGATCCAGCCATGCAACGAGGAGAAGACCCTATCCATAAATCCGATGGTATTTTGGGAGGCGGAGAAGCGGGCCGGGGAAAGGAGTTCAAATTCAACAGCCGTGGCCAGGGCATCCCTCCACGCAGGGGGGAGATCGATAGAGGAGGGGTTGGTCAAACCATCGGGGGAGAGGGTGGGGGGGCCCTGCGGGTCATAGGGCAGAGGGGTATAGGAGGGGATATTAAAGCCCCCCGCAGCGAGAACCAGTTCGTTGAGGGGGCCAGCCTGAGCGAGGGAAAGCTCGTCCTTGATCCAGCCGAGGAGGAGCACCTGCTCTGCCTGGGACAGCCCGTGGTTGTGAATGTTAAAGAGGCTCACACCACAGCGTCCATTTACTGCCGAGAAACTCGCGAGAAGAGCCCTTCCAGGAACGATCGGAGTCGAGGAGAAGAGCGGGAGCTGGGCACCTGTGATGGCTTCCCTAGCAGCAGAAGGAAAACATTAGGGAAAAGGGTGATCACGCCTCCTGTACGAAAGTTGGGGTGGAAGGAGGAGCAGGCGTGGATGGGAAGGTGCAGGGAATGGAGAAGGTCCTCAACGTCACAGTGGGCTCCGTGCGTTTCTTGAAGGGCAACAATCGATCCCGTCTCTAGTAGACGGCGTAAAATCTTGATTTTACGAACCCTAAGCGAGTCGTCATGATGAAACAATGCCCTCGCATTCCACGTCACGACTCGCAACCGAAAGAGCGGCGCACCTTCGCGCTTCTCAGCACCGTGCCACAGGGCACTCAGAGCGTTAAACACACCACACACTTGTCGGCGAGGAGCCCACGTCCGCCACGATACGATCACGGACCAGCTGGACGTCCATCTGCTCGTAGCGCAGGTTGCCCTCTGCCCACTCGAGAGACGGGAACTCCTGGCCTTCCTTGGGGACGACGCGAACCAATGGTTTCCATCCCGCCAGCACCTCGCCACGGAACTTGTCCACGAAATACCTCTTCGCAGGATAGAGCTGCTGGAGCGCTGCACGCACTTTCTTGCACCCGAGCTCGCGCTTGACCTGGCACACGTTCTTGTCTGGGCCCACGCACAAAGCTGCGCGACCACCTGCCACAGCTGTCGCCGAAAATGATCTCCAGGACGCAGGCTGACCGTTTGCACCCGGCGCGCGTAGAGCACCGATGACCTGGCCCACCTTTCTTGCCGCCAAGTGCGCGCTGCCTTTGAACCTGAGCGCGAGATTCGCCCCAGTGGGCGCCTGCTCATCAAAGGCCCACTCTGAGGGATCAATATTGCAATCCGAGTTCCACGATTCCAAGCCGACCGCCACCTCAGTCTTAGCCACCAGCGCCTGCGCACGGATGACCACGATGGCGGTGTCCACCTCTCTGTTGAAGGTGCTGATGCCGCCAGGGAGGAACTTCGGCGGCTGCTCATTCTGAACCATGTGTAGTTCACGCTGGATGGCCTTGATCTTTTCGTCCATCTCATCAATCTTCCGATTATGTTGCCGTGCGCTAGATTCGACACCATGCATGCGGCCTTCCATCTGCTGGCTGAGCGACTTGCACGATGAAGTAACATTCTTCGTGAGGGTCGAGAGCGCGCCATTGACACTCGACTGGGCCTCTCGGATGGACTTGAGAAGATCGGCATGTAGGCCCGCAGCGTGTCCACGAGGTTCGTTGAGGGCCGCGTCGTCATACTCCTTTGGTTCATGAAACTCACTCTCCCCCATAGAAGTGGGCTCCTCCGCTGCACGAGGGGTGCGCGTTCCTCCAGAGGGAGCACCAGGGACCGCGCCACGACGTGCTTCAGGGGGGCTTCGCGTTCTTGCATCTCGCGGACTGTCCGATCCAGCAGCCTGACCAGAAGCAGCATCACGAGCGCGACCTGGAGCGCCCACCTTGGACTGGGATGGAAAGGTCGGGGCGTCCTCCATATCCTTGCAGAGACGGCGACGTTCCTCCTCCGACATGGACTCGAACTCATTGCTGCCCATCGCGGTCTAGCGATGTCGAAAGTGCGAGAAGAGAGCGAAGTGGAAGACCCACCGCAGTAAGCAGACAGGCCGAGAATGCTTGAACAGAGCTCCCCCACCCTGGGCAGGGCCACCGCTCGGGGGAGGACAATGAGTCACCCTGGACCAACCTCGGGAAATGTTTTACTTGAGCCAAAATGGCTTGAGCCAAAATGGCTACGGACCTCCTCCTCCTCCTCGCCCTCTTCCTCCCCCTCCTCCTCCTCCTCGTCCTCCTCCCTCCTCCCTCCTCCCTCCACTCTCTTCATCCTCCTCCTTCCTCCTCCTCCTCCTCCTCCTTCCTCCTTTCTCCTCCTCCTCCTCCTCCCTCCTCCCTCCTCCCTCCCCTCTCCCCCCGCCCTCGTCGCTCCCTCCACGCCTTGCTTCGAGCTCCGCTTCCCGCGATGCGCGACCGTCTTCGCGTCCCCGCGCAACCGCCATAGGGAAAAGCACGCGCTGGCCCGAACCGCGACGGGCGCGGTGCCATTATGAACCAGCCCCGGTCTCCTCCATGCCCCTATGGTTGACCGGCCAAAAAGCGACGACAATCTGAGGACGCATCCTCAGATAGGATCGGCATCCGGATGATGCGATGCCCATCGTAGGGAAAGGGACATGTTCCAGACTGGCAGAGTCCCCTTGCCCCCCCGCGGGTGACCCAGGCCCCCCGACCGGGGCCCCGTTCAACAAATATCTGGCCAAGTCAATGGGAGACGCTCCAGCCCAGCTGCTGCTACCACGATGCCCGCGCTGGGCAGCGCGTGCGAAGCCGACCATGTGCAACGAACCCCTTGTGGCAATCTCCGATCCGCCTCCCAGACTCCGGCGCCACCGACAAATACAGTCCACGCGGCCATGCTTTTGCCGAGACGGTCGACGTCGGGACACGGGCGCGGGGCGGGGGAATGGCCTTCGGCGCGTGGCGTTCCGACCCGTGCGCGCGGTGCGGCCTGCGCGGTTTGGTCTGCCCCGCCCCTCCCCCACCCCCCGAAAGCCGCGCGCCGAAGGTCACTGCGGCGAGAGGGCCGCTCGTGGAAAACAACACACGCCGTGGAAAAAAAACAAGGTCTGTGGACACAATCACAGTGTGTGCGTGTGTTCTGTCCACAATGTGCGTGCGTGTGCGCGTGTGTACGTGTGTGTGTGAGAGTGAGTGTGAGTGTGTGAGTGTGTGAGTGTGTGAGTGCGTGAGTGTGTGAGTGTGTGAGTGTGTGAGTGTGTGAGTGTGTGAGTGTGTGAGTGTGTGTGTGAGTGTGTGAGTGTGTGAGTGTGTGAGTGTGTGAGTGTGTGAGTGTGTGAGTGTGTGAGTGTGTGAGTGTGTGAGTGTGTGCGTGTGAGTGTGCGTGCGTGCGTGTGCGTGTGCGTGCGTGCGTGTGTATGTGTGTGTGCGTGTGTGTGTGAGTGTGAGAGTGTGTGAGTGTGTGAGTGTGTGAGCGTGTGAGTGTGTGAGTGTGTGAGTGTGTGAGTGTGTGAGTGTGTGAGTGTGTGAGTGTGTGATTGTGTGATTGTGTGATTGTGTGATTGTGTGATTGTGTGATTGTGTGATTGTGTGATTGTGTGATTGTGTGATTGTGTGATTGTGTGATTGTGTGATTGTGTGATTGTGTGATTGTGTGATTGTGTGATTGTGTGATTGTGTGATTGTGTGATTGTGTGATTGTGTGATTGTGTGAGTGTGTGAGTGCGTGAGTGCGTGAGTGTGTGAGTGTGTGAGTGTGTGATTGTGTGATTGTGTGATTGTGTGATTGTGTGATTGTGTGACTGCGTGATTGTGTGATTGTGTGATTGTGTGTTTGTGTGTTTGTGTGTTTGTGTCTTTGTGGTTTGTGGTTTGCGTTTTGTGTTTTGTGTTTTGTGTTTTGTGTTTTTGTGGTTTTGTGTTTTGTGTTTTGCGTTTTGTGTTTTGTGTTTTGTGTTTTGTGTTTTGTGTTTTGTGTTTTGTGTTTTGTGTTTTGTGTTTTGTGTTTTGTGTTTTGTGTTTTGCGTTTTGTGTTTTGTGTTTTGTGTTTTGTGTTTTGTGGTTTGTGTTTTGTGTTTTGTGTTTTGTGTTTTGTGTTTTGTGTTTTGTGTTTTGTGTTTTGTGCGTTGTGTGTTGTGTTTTGTGTTTTGCGTTTTGTGTCTTGTGTTTTGCGTTTTGTGTTTTGTGTTTTGTGTTTTGTGTTTTGTGTTTTGTGTTTTGTGTTTTGTGTTTTGTGGTTTGTGGTTTGTGTTTTGTGTTTTGTGTTTTGTGTTTTGTGTTTTGTGTTTTGTGTTTCGTGTGTTTTGTGTTTTGTGTTTTGTGTTTTGTGTGTTGTGCGTTGCGTGTTGTGCGTTGTGTGTTGTGTGTTGTGCGTTGTGTGTTGTGTGTTGCGTGTTGTGTGTTGTGTGTTGTGTGTTGTGTGTTGTGTGTTGTGCGGTGTGCGCTGTGTGTTGCGCGTTGTGTGTTGTGTGTTGTGTGTTGTGTGTTGTGTGTTGTGTGTTGTGTGTTGTGTGTTGTGTGTTGTGTGTTGTGTGTTGTGTGTTGTGTGTTGTGTGCTGTGTGTTGTGTGTTGTGTGTTGTGCGTTGTGTGTTGTGTCTTGTGTGTTGTGCGTTGTGTGTTGTGTGTTGTGTGTTGTGTGTTGTGTGCTGTGTGTTGTGTGTTGTGTGTTGTGTGTTGTGTTGTGTGTTGTGTGTTGTGTGTTGTGTGTTGTGTGTTGTGTGTTGTGTGTTGTGTGTTGTGTGTTGTGTGGTGTGTGTTGTGTGTTGTGTGGTGTGTGTTGTGTGTTGTGTGTTGTGTGTTGTGTGTTGTGTGTTGTGTGTTGTGTGTTGTGTGTTGTGTGTTGTGTGTTGTGTGTTGTGTGTTGTGTGTTGTGTGTTGTGTGTTGTGTGTTGTGTGTTGTGTGTTGTGTGTTGTGTGTTGTGTGTTGTGTGTTGTGTGTTGTGTGTTGTGTGTTGTGTGTTGTGTGTTGTGTGTTGTGTGTTGTGTGTTGTGTGTTGTGTGTTGTGTGTTGTGTGTTGTGTGCTGTGTGTTGTGTGTTGTGTGTTGTGTGTTGTGTGTTGTGTGTTGTGTGTTGTGTGTTGTGTGTTGTGTGTTGTGTGTTGTGTGTGTGCGTGTGCGTGTGTGCGTGTGTGTGCCAGCGGCTGCGGTGGGGTTGCGTCCCGAGCGGCCGCCGGAGACCCGAGCCATGATCCAGAAAACAAGTTCGGCGGCGCGCCCGGGGGGGGAAGCGAGGAGGAGAAGGCCTCCTCAGAAGGCCGCGGGGCTTCTCGGAAGCCCTCGCGCCTTCTGCGAGGTCTTCTGTGTCCTCGGGGAACTCAAGAAATGTGTCAAAGGTCGGGGGACTTCCGAACCTTCCGAGGATTCACTTGAACGCATGAAGACCGCCCCCGCCCCCTACACGAGGAACTTTAGACCAACTAAACCGCGCGCGCGCGGGCCCTCCCCGCCCTGCGGCAGCCGGCAGTGGCCCCGCTCACATGGCGCCTACACTTACGCACATTCGCCGCACTTGCAAAACGCTGACATCTAAAAAGAATTGTTCGGCGGTGGACAAACCTCCCTTTAGTAAACCTCCCTTGAGTGGAAATGGTCTAGAACAGAAACCGACGGACCTGGACCCGCAAGAATG